CTCTCACTGTGTACTGATGCAGCCCTCTCTTTCCTCCCCATCTCTGGCAAGATAAGAGGGATCATTCTAGAAGAAAAGCAAGAAAGCTTATAAATGCAGTTTTATATCTCGCTAGAGTGCGGGTGACTATAAACAGCACAGTCCTCTCCGCCATCCTCAGACTGTCTGCTTGGTGCCACATGCCTGTGGGTCCCTCTTAAAGCACAGACGTTAAATTGAAAGTATTCCTGAAGTACAGCCTCGGATGAGGAGTGGCACTTAAACTGTCTGGGACACCAGGATTGGACACGGCCTGTGCGGGCAGCTGTCCAGTTTTGGTGCTTGACTCTTGAATAGGAATTGTAAAACGGAAAGATGCTCTAAGGCAGCGGTCACCAACCAGTGGTCCGTGAGGTCCAAAAGGTTGGCGACCGCTGCTCTAAGACTAGGTCAAATCCTAGTCTCTTTTTCTTTTTAAATCCCCTTCGCAATAAGGAGCATTTGTTACTATTGGAAGTTGTTTTCGTGTTCTTCCGGTATAGGGTGTTTATTTTAAGTCATGGTGATATTTTTTCCAGTGGTTCATTTGGATGAAAACTATTCCCTCTTTTTAATACTTAAATAACGTCAGCCCATTGTTTAGCCTGTGGTTATGTGGTTGTGTGATGGTTATGGACCGTTGCACACCTTGCTGCCTCGGCCTGTTTTGCCTTTCCTTTAGGATTGGACTAAATTCCAAAATTATCTTCCATGGGAAGAAGTAAAGGAGAGAGAAATCTAAATATGTCTCTAAATTGTCCAGTTTGCCCCGCACCATGATACGGGGGGCCCCAAAGGTGGGGGGTGGGGGCGGGCGGTTATCAGTATTTGTTTTCAGAATGAGATGGGAGCATCTTTCCTCTGCCGTGTGCTTTGTGTTTGATACCATCATGCTTGGGTTAGAACCAGACGACTCAGCACAAAGCCTGGAGTGTAAACTGTTGGAATCAAACATCTCATTCTGATTACTTGGCTTAATTTTTTTTCTTTTTTTTTATAGGGGTGGGAGGGAGGTGACTGCCCCAAAGGGAGGGTGTCTGCACTGAGGATTTAGAAACACTTTGAAGCTCTTAGCCTCGTCAGAAGTTGCCTTTAGCCACTCTCTGACCTTATGGATGAGTAACACAAAGATGAAGTAAATTCTTGGGAATTAAGCCATGTTATTTTAATTTGTCACTTTGTTCAGCGTTGTATGTATCTTAAAAAATGTTATTGTGAAATCATTTTTTGGCAAAATATCTTTGTCAAACAAAATTATAGGCCTAGTGGGAGTTGATGTTAGTCAACTTTTTGGTGAACTTAAGTGAACTTGATTGAGCTTGTGGTTCTACTGTATATCCTTAAAGATAGTTTTTAAAGCTCCCAAAGAAAGTCTACTCCTGACCTAAAAACTCATCTTTGGGGTAAAGAGTTAAGGGTCCAAAGGCTATAGCAGTTCATGAGGTCAGAGGGAGCCAGCCTGGCATGGACTCTGCCCCTCCACAGCTGACAGATTCCAACAGGAAGTGTATTTAAATTCTCTGTAGACAATGCTGGGCAGGGGAGGGGAGGGTGGGTTATGAAGATACAGGCTACTGGGTTTTAACCAGTGGTTGTGGGGCAGGGGTACCTGGAGGAAACCAAGTCACTGTTCCCTTTTTGAAACAAAACTAAAACCTGAAAATTTTTGTTCAGTGAAAATGGGGTCTAATTTCATGGTCCCTAGCCACAAGGGGCCAGTCCCACTGAGAAATGAACAGTGAGGACTCAAAATTTTGCAAACATTTGGGGGAAGGGACAATTGGCTTCTGTTAATTGGCAAATGTTCCAGTGGGGCTTCCTTTTTGTTGGGGGTGTTATGTTGTAGATGCACATGTGGACCAGAGTCTGCTGAGGTTGTAAAGTTCAGAAAAGATGGTTGATAAAATCTTGGCTTTTGTTAATGTATCTCAATAAAGCCCACTGGGACTCCCGCTGTGTGTGGTGTGTTCTTCAGA